TGTATACTTTTATTAATTACTTGACTGTTTAACGTAAAGCTGAATTCTGGGCACAAAATCTTTCAGTCAAATGTACTCCTATAGCTGGCCACACACCTTACAATTATCTGCAGATTTTCTGAGGTCAGATGGAAAAGGTGCAACAGATTCCTCCATCTACACCTAACTGTGTGGATGGAGTAATCTCCACCTGGGTCAATCTGTTACACTTTTTCCATCTGACCACAAAAAATCTGCAGATAATTGAAAGGTGTATGGGCACCTTTAGAGACAGAAGATATACATCCACTTCGTGTGCAGCACACACCTTTGCAAGCCCAAATACTACATCATCATCACCATCATCACTGTGTTGTACATAACCTGTGCAAAAACTAGAGCTTTGGGAGGGACCCAGAAGGCTCCACACACTACAGGCTGCCTGCAAAAAACTACAGGAGGGGGCGGATATATAGTCACCTTGCACAAGCAAGAGAGAAGCATCGGTTTTTATTAACAGCAGTTCCCAAACAGAGGATGCACAGGTCTGGAAAAACAATATACACAAAGATTTGTAGATTTGTATTCCCTATTTCAGCTTTAAATATTTTACATCATGTTCAGATGTTTACCGTCTAAAGCCACATTCACAACAGGGTGATAGAATTTCAGCGCTGTTTTCACACAATTTTTTTTGCACGTTTCAGCTGGTATTGCAAACGCTTTTTGTTCATATGTCAGCGCATTTATTAAGCTCATTTTTATTTGTCCAATGAGAAGCAGGCTCAGCTGCTGAAACGTGCTGATCAGCACGTTTCCATTGAAGTCTATGGAGGAAAACAAGCTAATCAGCACGACAAAAGAAGCTCAGGGACTATTTTAAGCGACAGGTGTATTTGTATGTGCAATTCCACATGTTTGCATGATCGGCCCCCAAAGGAATGCATGGGATTTTATTTGCATGCTTTTCAGCGCAGAAAAATCAGTGCGACAAAACCGCCCTGGTGTGAACGGGACCTACTCTCTGCATATTTTTGTTAGTGTCAAAGATCGGACACTAGAGGCTGATCTCAGTGGGTCAGTGCAATAAAAAAACAAAATATATAGGGAATGCAACATTTGCAATAAGTCAGCAGACTTTGTGAATAGCACAGCTTTTGTTCAGCACTGCAAAGCAGGAAAGTAGTATGGCTGCCTCTGTGAATATGTATAATTTCAAACTATAAATAGAAACAGGGCTTTTAAGACATTAACAGATAATGGTGAGGTTACTTATATTAAAAATACCTCTTCTACACGGTGTTATAAAAAAACACCAAACAATTAAAGACTACATGATTTACTAACCTCAAATGATGGTTGCAACAGAAAAAGGGAAGCCTACCGCACGGAGTGGTGGCTTGTAAACCTCACTTTTACTTTTATACAAATCAAACATCTGCAAACTGTAAGCTTTCATTAAACTATTTTACACCATACAATTGACAAGCAGGATAGGAGTCAGACCCATCCAGTATGTCTAAAAGGTCCACATTTCCACCTAACTATATTTCTGTTTAATGGCACCATGAATAAAGCATTAATCAAAACTAAATTAGAGAGCATTACACATTATTTGCAGACTGCAGTACCCAGTCTCTTTCTAGAATGTTTTATTTTCTGTACCTGAAATTAATTAATGTGTTTTTATCTATTTCATCATTTATTAAACATATATCCCATTGCCTTAAGGGAAGTCCTAGTGTGACATAGAATTATCTGGGTATTGGCTTCAAGGTATTTTTAGTCAGAGAGTAATTTATTTGCACAGTGAGAAGAAAATAAAAATGCAAAACTAAAGCAGTGGGAAAGGATTAAGCTTCTAAAACTCTTGTAAATATTAAAGTGATATTAAAGCCTAACTTTTTTTTTTAATTTCTCCTTCAAGGAAACCCACCTTTGCTGGAGGCTGTTGATTTTATTCTTTAAAAGTTCCTAATTTCTCGTTTTCTAGTGGCTCCCCGCAGCGCACCTCCCCCTGCACGGGTGCCACCATCGTTCTAATGGAGACACCCGCGCACGCTCGTTTCTGCAGTGGCTGTGTGCGTCCATAGACACACATACAGCCCTGTGGCAGGCCACGCCCCTTCTCTCTTTGATTGATGGCAGAAGGAGCCTATGGCTCCTCTGCCATCAGTATCCCCCCCCTGCAACCCGGAAGTTCGGGGAACAGAGGATCTCTTCGGACCGGCGGCGGGGACGAGTGCAGCTGACAGGTATGTGTGGAGGGGACTGGGGTAGAAAAAAAAGGTACTGGGCCGTTTTTACCCTAATGCAGAGAATGCATTAAGATAAAAAACGCCCAGACCTTAATACTACTTTATGTATTACCAAAAAAAACAAAACATGCTGGTATACAGTATACACATGCTGATAATGCACAATAAGTAGGTTATTAGAATCTTCTTTAGGGAAAATGGCAAATGTGTTTGTCCCAATGTTTTCCAGGCTATCTTAGTTCAAGGTGAATGGTTAAGACTTGAGGAGATCTGGGTACTGTTTGTAAAATTGGCTGCACGGCCTACTTTGACACACAATTTCTACTGGAAATGCAGAAAGGTACCTTTTCAGTAAGCATATCACCAGCATGTGAGGTTCATAACGTCTGAAGAGTATTAAAGGGTCTAGCAAACCTATCTAGCTCATTCCGCTTTGCTTTAAATCACAACACTATGGGGTCTTGTGTTGGCCAAGTCACATGACCATCTCTCCTCCAATCACAGATCTCTCCGGCTACAATAAGCAGAGAGAGCTCTGTAGGGTATCACTAATTCCACACTGTGTCCCACCATTTATAAATGGGACATAAAAAAAAGGCCACCATGCGCAGATCCCAGCAGACATTAAGTGGGGGTATCAGTTCCTATGTAATACAAGCACACCAAATTTGTGCACACTGGAGTTGTCAAACATTATAATTATCCCTATCAAATAGCTACAGGTAAAGTATAGCTAAAGTAAAAACAATATTTGTTTCATTTTGGAAAGAGTAGGGAATGGTTAAATTCCCTGTCAAGGTTTTTTTTTGCAATCTGTTTCCCATTTAAAAGATTTCTCTTCACTCCCTGTTGACACAACAGGAAGTGAGAGAATATCTATCCAAAGTGAGCAAAATCCACAATTGTCACTCCCATTATTTTATTTTATTCCTCACAACATGTTGCAATTTGTATAGTTTCCTGTTTCTTTTCCCACCATCTGCTACAAAAATATATTTTCATTAAAACCCAGTTTTTCCCTCTTTTTTGGCTGCCAGAGTCCTCCTGTCGCAACACATCACCAATCCTTCATTGGATGGCCCAGAGAGGAAATGAGGCCTTGCACTTGCATGGTAAGGCACTTGCAGCTTGTAGAAAGCATGTATGGCCTGTAGGTGGAATGCATGCCATTATGATGCTTCAGACTGTCTTCTGCACACTGATGCTAAGCTTTCATATGGGAGTTCAATCAATTTTTTCTTCTGGACTTTTTTGAGTGCTGACATTTGTCTTTACTTCAAGAAATAAATAAGCAGGGGTTCTACACCTTCTCTATTCTACCCAAAACTAACCAACCCCCCCAAAAACAAACAAACATAGTTTTATAATAGACCAGTCTTATCACCATTGATATGGACAGTGGGAGAGCAACATGATTTGGCCATGACCTGTTAAGCTGGTCTACATACAAATGTGAGTAGTTTGAACAAATAGTTCTAGATACTATCACAACACTTAGTCAAGAAAGCTGCAAATGGATCCCTATCCAAACTAAGACTGCAAAGTTCTAAACTGGCCTCTCTTAACCCTGGGGTTCTTCCTGAGGTTGCTAAGGGTTTCTTGAGCAATGACAGACTAATGAAGGTACCTGCATAGTTTTGGCATTGATTTAGTGTGGTGTGGGGCCAGTGGAGCCTCTCCTCTCATCTCAGGTAAGTAACCACTGATGCCAATAATCTTTTTAGCATTCTGTAAGGGACACATTCTTTCCAATGACCACCAACGTAAGCAGCATTTTCCCCCACTGATTTACTGTGTGCACTTCTTCCACTAATTACATACATAAGGGAGTCATTCTACCCATTGACAACTAATGTAAGGGGCACTAAATTGACCACTAATGTAAGGGGCATTCATCCCAGTGAGTACCAATGTCTCTTTACCCAACTACATTTATTGTAAGGGGCCCTCCACCAACTCACAGCCAATACCACAGTGATCACCAATGTCAGGGGGCATTTCTCCACTGGAAACCAATGTAAAGAGACACTACAATTTTAACTGCCTGTGTTTCCTTTCCAGCCGTTATTATGATTTCAATTCTGGATTATTATTATAAATATTTTTGTCATATACGTGGGAAGCGGGTGGGGTTAAAGTGATCTGCTATGAGTTGACAAATATACTATGCCTGCCATATTGCTTATTATTTTACTTATTATTAAGTCTACAATGTAATGATCGTGATAACGTACCATGAGCTGTAGGCATCATTTTAGCAGTGGTTCCCTGAGATGTGGAGATTATATTAATGGTTCATTTGAGGCTGAGAAAGGCTGAGAAAGGCTGCTCTAGATCATGACTATAATTGTCATTCAGCTCCAGTATATATTCAGGGAAATGCAGGTCATTTAAACATCTCTGTTTAAAATAAGTTAGGGTAAAAGGTGAAGAGTTATTTATGTTAGAGGTTTCAAACTATTAACTAAAAGAAGATAAACAGGGAAAGAAGATAACACTGTATATTGAAAGATTTCTGAACAGGGAATGTGGCATATCTCTTGGATCTACACAACATCTTTAATGTTCCCTGAGGTCAAAAGTACCAGACATGTTGGGGCACAGCAGAAGGACAGAGGTAGGGGTTACCCAAGTACATAGTTAATAGAACATG